TTAAACGTTTCGCAGGGCACATCCGGTGATAATAGTTTTTCTTTCTCTATCTCCCAGATTTAAAATATGCACATCATTTGGCTCTTTAATAGCAGATCAGTTGCAATGAGTGAAAATGTCAGCTTAAATACATCTTCTCCAAGTGTCTGTCAAATTATGATGCACCATTATCGGTTTCCAGTACACTCAAAGTGGCTAGATACTTCCAGGGCAGACTTCGTATTCTCTTTGAATTCTTTTTGGCGCTAGAAAGTCTTTAACATAGGGCATTGATTTCCATATATTTCTAAATTCTATTTTTCTCTCTTTCTTCTTCTTTATTTTTAAGTATTACCTTAGTAAAAATAGGAAGTTAGGCTTATTCTTTATGGGTCTATAAAGGAATGAAATGCTAAATTAAAAATAAATAAAATAAAGAATAATAAAATTTTTATCTTAGTAATGTATTTAATTGCTGGAAATTTGAATCTTAACTCTTTCACATCGAATTCACCCCAAACCCCCGACAATTCAGACATCGGCAGGTCGCCGGGTGTTGGGGGAACGCCTGAATCATTTTCTACCTAGTGCTTTTCTTCATCACGTTAATGATGTGTAGCGTGTATACGAGCCAGCTTCCCTTAGAAAGTCATCCACGAAGGCATCCCTAAACTTAGGCAGATAGCTCTCGAGGCTTTGCCATAATCACACACACACTCATCACGTTAGTGCCTTGTTCATAGCTTTTGGGACTTGTTAAATGCCAAACATTCTTTTGAAGCCACTAAAACTAGTTCTATTATTTTAATGCACCCTGCTTTGTTTACTGTCAATATTTAGCTATTGATGTCTGAATTTGCAATCCTGTTCCAAGGGGAAACTGCACACAGTGGTGAAAGCCTTTATAATTTTCCCAAATGGTGGTCATTTTTTTTAATATAAGAATAATATTTTTTATAATATAATATTTTTTAATATAATTTAATGGTGCACTTTTTAATATAAAAATAATATTTATATAATAGTTTTTAATATAATTTAAGCGTCCAAGAGATAATTTTTCCCTTTCTGTAAGTAGATTATTGTTAGTGCTGTAGCATTCTACTTGTCATGGGGAAGGAAATCCATTCCAACAAAATTCATATATACGGATGTTTCAGATGTTTGAGCGAAATAGATGCCTCTACAGTTTCGAAAGAGTTAATACTATTCTTCCTGTTGCTAAATTCCTTCATTTTTTGTATGAAGAAAGAGTAAAATTCGATTTACCTTAATCTTGCTCAATCTTTTCGACATTTCAAGTGCAAAGAGGCCTTCCTCGCGAAGCAACGTCTGTTCCTATCAGTAAGCCTCCCCCCCCCGCGGCTGAAAAAAACAATTTGACTCATTAGGGCATTAAAATCTCTCCGCTACGGATACAAACAGCGAAAAAAATATTTTTGCTCACAATCCATTTGATTATATTTTCCCTATCTATCGAGAGACACCTTATATCTTTATTCGTGCATAATACTGTACTTACGCATGCAGAGTATGTGCATATATACATGCATGTGTGTAAGTAAACCAGAAAATATTTACGTCTATTTCCAAGATGAATGTGGCATATAAAGATTTATTTCATCAAGTCTATCTCCTGTGATGCAAACTTGCTGAAATCAGTCTAACTTTTACCTTTATATTTTTCCCAATGGTGATCTTTTATATATATATATATATATATATATATATTAAATTATAGCTTAATAACGGATTTACTTGATATAAATGCTGTACATTTTAAAAAATTCTTTTATATGTGTATTTTTAATGATTCTTATGGAAGTTAAGAAATTGTAAATTTTATTATATACATACGATTCGGATTGAGCAATCAATAATGCAAATTTTTAAACCGGAAACCAATCAAATTTTATGCGCGGAATTATTATTTTTGGCAAATCACATAGAAGAAATATGATACGTTTATGTGGGGCAATTTTAGTCAAAATATTTCTGTACCATGGCGCAAAATGGCTAGCGTATAAAAGTACGGAATTTGACATTTTCGCAATAATTTTATGAATACTACATATTATCCAAATGAAAATATCCGATGCTTTCCGTTTAAGTCAGATCCGATAAGAAAATTAAGCGTAGCATTTGTATTAAAATAAAAAAAAATTGATGTGTACATGGCATTGACTTCCTTGTACGAAATTTAAATTATACTATATTACTTTATTATATTTATTATATATTATTTTATTATATACTATATTATATCATTTTATTATATAAATTTCCATTTAAACGTATTGAACTGAAATAAATCTAATACGTCGATAGCGCATAAACCACAATAGAATAAATGCACTTTTTAAAATTCAATATATTTGTTTGCTATAGCGATACTCTGGCGCTAGGTTTGTAGAGTCATTAGGATTTTTTTAGAGGCAGAAAAGATGAAAAATAGCAAAACGCCTTCGCCGGGAATCGAACCATGGACCTCTGAAATACCGGCCCAGCGTGCAGAACCACTACACCACGAAGGACGCTAGGAAAGTGGGAGAAATAGCTTATAGGTTCACTTAATAGCCTTACATCTCATTCATATTATAACTCAGAATGCAAAATAAATTATATCATCTGAAAAATTGTCAAATCGTTGCCATATGTTCTATTCAAATACTATAATAAATCTAAAACGATGTGTAAAAGAAATTAAACAAATAAAAAACAAACAGTTTTCACAGACGATCCAGCGCTGCTTACCTAATGCGCACGCGCTACTCGTAAACATTCTCTTCTGTCCGAAACAGCCTGGCGACAGCATTTTTTGCTAATATGAAACACTTATTTCCTCAAATTTCATTAGAAATGTATTTCTCATTCAGTTAATTCAGTTCTGACTTAGCGGCAAGGCAAAAATAATAAAAACATAAAATATCTTCATTAAAAATTTAAAGATATAGGAAAACATAAAACACCAAATAGTTAGAAAAAAATTACGATTAAAATTACAGTTTCTACGCAAAAACAAGCAATTCGGTCAGGAAGACAGATTTTTCGGTGCACAAAACTGAAAGTTTACCTTTGGTCTCACTCGGCAAAAAGACACTGAAGGCGTAAAAGCTAAATTAATTTATTGTAGACCCTATGCTGAGTCAATATATGGAATAATTTAATAACTTAAATGATAATTCCAGAATGGATTAAGTATGTTTTAATTCGCAATAATAAAAGAAGACATTACATTGTTGTTACGAAAATTAGCTTCTCTAGATTGGCAGCAAATTCGCTATTCTGCTAAGTTTCAAATGTAAACAAATATGGCTGCTATGGCCAAAAAAATAAATAAAAAATAGGCTTAGCCGCACTTAAACAACTTTCAGATTGTTCATAATTCTACAACTATAACATGCAGGTTAACTAAAGGCATAAAAACCTCAACCGGGAGATAAGAAGAACATAATTCAAAACTCTTTAAAGCAAAATATGCACAATTTACAAACATGTAAGAATAAGAAAACTCAGCTTACTGAGCCGAGTAACAGAGTGGATATATATATATATAAATTTAAACAAATTTAAATTTTAACAAACATGTAAATACGCGATATATATATATATATTTGTAATAATAAAATTCCATAGTCAAGAATACACTTAAAATTCTAACTGTATGTTCTTTTAATTTTTAATGGCGACGTTCTCTTATTTGAAAGTACGTGGAATTAAATGCACAGCCCCGTAGTCAAGTTGTTTTTCCCGCCTTTTCTACACATACAGTTTTAGGATGTTCTGGAAATATTTAAAGCGAACTGGATTCGCTGACGAGGCTGACGTCATTTCTTGGAAGCTCCGCCTTTCCAGAGGCTATAAAAAGACTCGCAAAAGAATATCGTTATAAAAAACCAAAAAAAGTATAAAATTTAAAATACAAAAAAATTTTAAAAACCTAAAAACTTATAAAAAAATTATGAAACTTAAGTTTTTATTTTCTCATCTCTATCCCTAAACTTTCTCGAGCCTGTGGCTCCCTCTAGTGTGCATCAAGTAAATCACTTATGCCAAATTTTTCTTATTTCTGCTCGCTTTTAGTAATTCTGATGTGGAGGTAGATGGTTTTGAACCATAGGAACTCCGAAATTTTTAAATCATTGGCATTGGCATCGGAGCATTTTTCTTAAATGTCACGATGCAGTAAACTTCATACAAAAAATTATTAGTAATTCTTTTTATTTACTCTGGATATCTGATTTTGTAACTGCTATTTCTCCTGAATAATAATAAATGGATCCTGTTTTTTTTAAACTTATCGTCTGATAATTTAAGTTACGACTAAAGCTGGTACATCACATATATATATATATATTCTGATATTCAACTTTATGATATATATATATTCAACTTTCTGAGGCTACACGTTTTTGAGTTTTGCGAGATACATACGTACATACATACGTACGTTTGTACAGACGCCACGAAAAAAGGTCTTCAGAATCCATTTTAAATCAGTTTTATAATTTTTTTGGTGAAAAAGAGTCCTTACGTACAGATGTCACGCAAAAACATTGTTCAATTGCATTTGATAGCGATCAAAATGGATATTCAGCTTAAAATACGATACCCGAAATTTTTCGCGATTACAGTACTTCCTTTTTACTTCGTACAAGGAAGTGAAAAGTGTGTCATGGTAATATTATTAGTAGTATATGCAATTAAAAATCCTAAACAAAGACATGCTTTAGGCAATTTAAGAAAATAACTAAACCTTCGAAAATATTTCTTTGAATTCAGAAAGCATGAATCAAAAACCTGTCGGTAAAAGATTAGAATAACTTTTCTTAAATCTTGCAAACTAGACACGGACACTTAAATTAAAGAGATTAATCTAACATTTCCTAGATCACGAAAATATTTAATACCCGTTTATATTACTAATCAGATTTATATTATGTTTATATTACGTTTATATTTACAGAATTAAAAAATTTTATGTTTGATTTCAACTAAACTTTTTTTTTTTTTTCTTACAGGGTGAATTCGAATTAGGAGATGATGAATTTGGCCTGCTTGATACAGATTTACTGGAAGTGGGAGGTTTTGATAATGAAGTAACAGCAGACGCAGAATTCGGTCTGAATGACATTCAGTCGGCTCACACCTTTAAAAATTCTCCCTTTTATTTAGATTATTAAATTATACTGTACGAGTTTAGAACTGGCTTCTTGCCTTTTCTTTTATGTGTGTAATATATTGGACTGTACAGTTTCCTCGACTAGGAAAATGCAAGACTTAAAATAAAAGAACTTTTGAAGAAAAATCTGTTACAAAATAATATGTGTTTTACATCCTGCACCAAGAAAAGAGAAAAAAAAATGTAAATGTATTTTGAAAATTTTATTATGAACAAATTAGCACTGGAATGTATAGATTAAAAACATTTATGTAATAAATTATACCTGACAGCTCTTCTGCATAAACGTTTTGTATAAATAAACTGTTTTAATATGTGTCATGTAAGAGTTGAAGTTATGTGTTTGTATGTTTACCTTCATATATGTTTAATTCTTAATTTCAAAACACAAAAAGAAAGAGGTTCAATATTTTCTACTGTCGTATAATGCCTGCTAAATTATTTTTAAAATGATTCGTTTCAAAATGCGTATTAAAAGAAAAGGAGTTTTCTAAAATAATTATTATACAGCTTGTTTTAGAAAAATTCGTGGATCGCGTTTAAAGAATTAGTCCCAAATTAATGGTTTTAGTTTAACCTTTTCGCGACGGCGCACCTTTGTTTAAAACGCTCGTGCGGGACGGAAGAGAATCGAAGGCAGTCACCGTACAGGACGGAGGTTTTGCATCGTTAAGCCTAATTTTATAACAAAAATCAGAAAAAGAAAAGTTTCGCTTCTAGCATCGTAATTTTTGGTATCATTTTAGATTATTACTTGAGCTCTTATATATGTTAAAATTAGCCCTTAAAACATTTATTTCTTTATTTTACATGGAAATATACTTAAAAAATTGCTTGTCTTCCATAATACTTTTCGGAAGAGCTATTCAAATTATTCTAAAGTTTTAATTGATAAAATCGATCAATAAAGTTTAAAATTATTAAAAAGAACACAATAAAGACTATTTACAGTAAGAAGTAACAAAATTTAAAATGAAAACGAGCGTGGTAAATTTCGAAGCACAGAGAAGTATCACCTTGTAACTCTTAGAAAAAGTATCACTTTTTAACTCCTTAGAAAATGAATCAGTACTCTCATTTGCGTTAGTAAATAAATGGTTCACTAACCATACTAGGGTATTCTTCCTCTGATAAATAGCGCCTCCTTCCCGTCATAATAGACTGGAGGTGAGTGTTTCCTAAATAAAAAAAGAAGGAACGGAAATATATCTGAAGGCAATGCAAAACGTAAAAAAACTCCGCACAGTAACCCTAAAAGACCGTACAAAGTAGAGGAAAAAAATAGAATAAAAAAGGAATTGGATATAAATCAGATACGAGAATGTTTTCATTAGCACGCAGCGATTTAAAGAGCCGAGCTGCGTTTGTTTACATTACGATTTCCCCCCTCCCCAGCCACAGCTGACAAGCAAAATACCAAAAACAGCCAGAATATAAACAATCTGAAGGTCAGAATACTAAAACTACGTTCAGTTTAAATGTAATGGACACAGAGTGCCATCTAGTGGCTATTAAAAATCGTTTCAGCTTAAAATGCATATCTGCACTGCCCGTTCACTTGGCCAGTTCTCCAGGAGTGCACGGGTGAACCGCCCGGGCCTCATATGCGTCCGTACGAAATGCATATATGATTCGCCCGTCGCGAAGAGGTAAAAAACGAATCAAATAGGTAGACTTTCAGAATGCGACAATTTTGGCCTTGTGTCACTATTTAGTAAAAGTAGGCTGAATTTAAATTTGTATGCTGGCAACACCCAAAAAAATAGCATCGCTCGGAAAAATGTTTTACCTCATTAATCACTCTAATCCATCTAAAATTATCCTAGGCGACATTAATTACAGTTTGTAATAACTGCATAAAACAAATTCTAAAAACTGTTATTTTTAAAAGCTGAGAATACAAAACGCTAAACGGTAGGATTTAAGTCAGATAAACGTGAATTTAAAATTGTGTTTCCAGTTTCCTATTTGTAGAAACTCTTTTAACATCTAAATCATTTTATTTCAGATATATATGCATCCTTAAATGAAGATTTCGCTTTTCCTTTTTTAATTGGGTAAAACTGGTTTAAACCATATAAATTTTGACAACTATCTATATAGTCTAGTTTAAATACTAACGAATGTTTTCTTAAACGGTATTTGGTAAGGAAAGAAATGAATCGCTAATGAAATTTCCTTTGCAAAAGGCACACGTACATATTTGAAATTATTCTTCAATTAGTATTCTTATCATTAGCGGACGTTATTACCTAAAATGCAGTAGTCTTGCATACTTACCTTATTTAATCCATTTCTTAAATTAGCAATTACTAATTCAAGTAACATTTACTCATATAACCGTTTTTGAAACATCACAAAAAATACAAAAATCTGATTTTAAAAAATTTCACAAGTGAATCAAAAACCAGTTCAGAATGAGAGGACGAGATTCTCATGATTTATAAGGCCATCAGACAAAGAAATAAATGCATAGACGATCATATAGAAGGATAGATGAAAAAGTGTAGACTAAAAAAAAATTAATCTTGTTTTTACAGTCATTTCAAATAAGGCACCACGAATATAAGTTAATAATTTAATTCAGTACTCGAATAACACCTGCTTTTTAAATCCCTAACAATTATTTTGCTGATTTTAGAACAGTAAAAGTAAAATAGTAATTGACTTTATATCGCATATTCTCTCGTTATCTGGAATTGCATAAAAATTAAAAGAATATTCAAGACTTTAAAATTTTGAATTATCAAGAATACACGAAACATTTTATTTCATACGTTGTTGAGTAATTCATACTTACTATATATATATCTTGAAATATTCGTCTAACATCTTATGTGATTTCAATAGGGCAAAATGTTCAATTAGTATATATCTTTACGTTTTAATTAGTTAAATCCCATACAGAATTTGCAAAAGGATGTTTATTAGGAACAGTTACTTACAACCTTAATAAAAACAAATGCTGTGTTGTTCAAGTAAGAAGCATCAGGTTGAAAAATGTCAGCTTCCTGTTTCCTAAATCTGACTTCAAAGGCCTTGATTGTTAAGTTATTTGTTATGGTAAAGAACATAAATCAATGTATTAATTCTTTAATATTTTAAAATTTTGCATTAAATTTCGGAGCTTCCTTTTTTTACTTCCTTGTACGAAGTAAAAAGGAAGTATTGTAATTGCGAAAAGTTTCAGACAGCATATTTCAAAGAAAATATCAATTTTTCACTGCAATCGAATGCAATTTAACGATGTTTTTGCGTGATATCTGTACGTAAGGACAAAATAAAATACTCTTTTCCTTCAAAAAAATTATAAAACTGCTTTAAAATGAATTCTGAAGAGAATTTTTCGTGGCGTCTGTACGAACGTATGTACGTATCTCGCATAACTCAAAAACGAGTAACCTCAAAACCGTTGAAATTTTGTATATAGGACTGCTATAACATGTAGATGTGCACCTCGTATTTTGGTTGCAATCTGCCGCACCAAACGTATATAAATATATTTATATAAATATCCACTCTGTTACCCGGCTCAGTGATCTCAGTTTCTTTACTCTTATATGTTTGAAAAAATTGTACATTTTTTGCTTTAAAAATGATTGAATTCTGTTGTTCTTATCTTCCGGTTAAGGTTTTTATGCCTTTAGTAAATCTCTATGCAATATTTTTAGAATTATCAACAATTTTAAAGTTGTTTAACTGCCGCTAAGCCTAATACTTCTCTTGATGGCGGCCATTGTTTGTTTACATTTGAAACAGCAGGATAGTGGATTTGTTGCCAATCTATTGAAACTTAGCTTCACAACAACAAAGATAACGCCTTCATTTATTATTGCCAATTAAAACATGCTTAATCCTTTCTGGAGTTTTTCGAGGAAATAAGTGTTTAAGATTTACTTCGTAATTTTTAATATAGATATTTTGAGTTTTCATGTATTTTTGCCTTCTCGCGAAGTGAGAACTGAATTAATTGAATGAGAAATACTCAATCGTCTGTGAAAAACTGTGTCTTTTTTGTTTTGTTTGCTTAATTTCTTTTATACATCATTCTAGCTTTATTATAGTATTTGAATAGAATATGTGGCAACGATTAGATAATTCTATTTTTTAAGTGATATAAGTTTTGTGCATTCTGAGTTATAATATGAACGAAATATAAATACTGTTAAGTGAACCTAGCGCCAGAGTGTCGCTATGGTAAACAAAGTGAATTTTAAAGAATGCATTTATTCTATTGTATTTTATGCGCTGTCGGCAAAGTAGGTTTAATTCAATTCAATAAGTTTAAATGAAATGCAAGAAAAAATGCGTATAATTTAATATTCCGTACAAGGAAGTCATGTGGTGTACCACATCAGATTTTTTTAATTTTGGAAAGTGGAATAAACATTTTTACTACATCTTAAATCTTCAGTTTGAAATGAGTATTAATACAATTAAAACCCTCAGCTATCCTTGCGAATGATCCGTTATTATTCTTAATTCACCAGATATATCGAATTTGTTTTCAAGGATTAAAATAGTTTGTATTTACCTTATCAGTTTTCATTTATACTATAAGGTTATTTTCCCGCTTTCTTAACTTGCCTTCGTGGTGTAGTGGTTCTAAACGCTGGGCCGGTATTCCAGAGTTCGGTGGTTCGATTCCCGGCGAAGGCGGTTGCTAATTTTTCATCTCTCCGGCCTCAAAAAAATATCTAATGTCTTGTATGGTCTATTTGCACAATTTTGCTGCATTTCATTTAAACTTATTTCCTCGATTTTAATTATATATATATATATATATATATCATTCAATCAGTTCAGTTCTCACTTCGGGGCAAGGCAAAAATACATAAAAATTCAAAACATCTTCATTAAAAATTGTAAATTATATAAAAACATAAGACACCAAATGCATTAAAAAACAAATTAATTAAAAAAATTAAAATAGATTTTCTACACAAAGACATGCAAATCGACCAACGGGCAGTAACACTAATTTTCTGTGCACAAAACTGAACATTTACTTTTGGATCCACTCGTCAAAAAGGCACTGAAATTGGCGCAAACGCTATTCACCTATTCTACTAAGAGTTTCCAAATGTAAACAAATGGCGTTTCGTTAGGCATAGTGGAACTTAAACAACTTTTAAATTGTTAATAGTTTTAAAACTATTGCATGCAGACTAACTAAAGGCATAAAAAACTTAAGCGGAAGATATAAATAACATGATTCAATTTTCTTTAAAGGAAAAAAATACATAATTTACCAAAATATCAGAATAAAAATCTGAACTCACGAGCTGGGTAAATGTGTTGGTATATAAATATATATTATATGCAC